TATATTCGGATATAACGCCACGGCTTTATATGCGCGGAAATACGGTAGTACGTATTGTCGGTTTTGTGCTAGATTGCGCACGTCTCACTGTCCAAAATCTGGTTTAGTTGGTGGACTGAATCGCATAACTTGTGCTCACATTTTTTCAAATGTTACAATACTAGCAGGCAGGCATAGTGGGATGGTCTAAGACCATGATTGAGAAACAGAGGGTACCAGGTTCAAGTCCTGCTTGGAAGCGGAAGGATTTTTTCCAGCCGTGCTGCGACCCACAGATAATTGGGAACTCGTGGCCTGGCACGAGGGAAACATGGATGCAGTGAATGGGATTTCGGTCTTTGACCACTTTGTGGTGGGTCTCATCTACTCACCTCCCACCGCTTAGGAGCTGCATCTGCGCCTTGATCCAAGAGGGTGGTGGCGTTCCTGCGGATGCGGAAAACTGGGCCTTTGGCCGAGTCTCACGCGAACCGTGAAATTTTTTTTTTTTTTTTTACAATACTAAAGTATAATCTTTTCCTTTTTGCACCACATAGACATAGTCTTCACACCTGTCGTAGTCTGTGCTCGCATACGTACTCCGTTCGATTTTCACTTTGTGTCACCTGATCGCTAAAATAAATTGGAACTGGCTCAAAATGTTTTACTTTTTTTAAAGAATATAGTAAACAGCTCTACCAATTGCAGGACAATTGCAAAGTCGAGAAAAGTGACTGTTCACCACATAATGGAGCTGGATGGCTAAAGCATGCCCTGGATGGTATGGGCATAGCAGTACAGGTAAAAAAGTCTCCGCTACAGTACAGAGAATCTCATGCAAGCCATGCAACGCTCGTGAGCCCATTGCGCAATGACATAATTCGTACCATAAGCACCCGAACAGCCACCTGGGGTTGGCTGTGTGGTGGTGTGTTGAACCGTGCATTGCTGATCTATGATTGTGCAGGGATGTTGAAACAGTGCATTGCTGGTCCCAGCGCACCTTTACTTGCATTACCCATGCATTCCATATAAGGCCACAACAAAATGATTTCGTGTTTCCGGTCGGCCGACCGGGTCCGTTTTTTCAAAAATTATGGAATTTTTTGGTTTACGACAAGTACAAAAAAACAAAGAAAAACAAGCAAAAACACTGAAAGCATTGTGTTGCTTTGCTCGAACCGAAATAAAAGTTTGACTGAATGCAGAGACGAAAATTCCGGAGCTGGAGAAAAGGTCGCCAAGAACGATGGCTGCTTAGAGCAGCCCGCTTTGTGTCCAGTGCTGACGATGGCTGCTCAGAGCAGCCCGCTTTGTGTCCAGTGCTGGCGGGGTGCGAAGTGTCTTCTTCAGCAAAGGATAGTTCGCGTCTCCCATGAAACCACCTTGAAGGAGTTGTTTTGTGAGGAAGCGAGCCTCGCTTGCCTGAGGACGTCACGTCTTTAGAGTGGATTGTCGCAGCTACAGCAAGCAGCAATGGTGGGGCAGGAACGTGGAAAGATGTAGAGGTAACTGAAACTGTCGGCCTTGTTGTCGAATTTGGATGCCGTTTCCTGGATTTTCGCTTGGTGGACGTAGCTCCTGCTGCCAAGCGACCGTGCCCTGACCGTCCCTCGGCATTCGATGTGTTCTGGGAGCAGCAGCGAAGCGGGATCACCTGCCAACTCCAAGTGGGAAGACGTGTCTCATGTCTATGAATACAGCAGGGAAATAAACTTTCAAACCGAAAAAAAATAATTTTCCGACCAACCGGGCGTATTTTTTCGGGGGGGGGGTGCTGACCGGAAACACGAAATCTTTTTGTTGTGGCCTAATTATGGCAATGAGCAGTTGGCTTATTGGCCCTGCTTATGTGGTCAGACTTTACAGCATAATTATTATCATCACATTTTTGATAGGGCAATCCCCACTGGCCTAATGCCTTCTTACAGGGTACTCTAGAAATGAAAGTACTGAATTATGGAATAGGTGCAGCGAAGAGCATAAGCGGACTTCAGCAGGGAGTGCATTCCAGCGGTCGGAACCGATGAAAGCAACTGCATGCGTAAGAATTCCGGCACCGTAGGCTCCGGGATGAACGGGTCAGTACTCTGTACTAACCTCTTGTAGCTTCTGCCCTGGTGATAACTCGCTGGCGTACAGCAGCCCGATCTCTTGATCCAGCGGCTTGTGAACTTGCTCACTGCTGTCATAATAACATAGGGCAACAGACCACATGAAAATACACACAGACAATTTCTTACTCAAACTCTCTCTCTCTGTCTCTGTCTCTCTCTGTCTGTCTGTCTGTCTCTATGTCTCTATCTGTCAGTCTCTCTCTCTCTCTCTGTCAGTCTTTCTCTCACACACATGCACACCCACATATCTTCAGACCTGGTGACCATTGACGGTATACTTCCAACCTGACTGATAACGACAGCTCATGAATCAGGGCGCTTTTAACATTCAAGTAAAGCCAATTTAGTAACCAAACGTTTCCGTTCCCTTCTCATCATGTTTTGATATCGTTATTTGTTTTTCC